TGAAATGAGCGGTGTGGTGGCTCATGCATTTACTGAGCTTACTCACCTTAGCAAAAAGAGTAAGATTTGACTCAGTCTTTGCAATGGCAAAACACGTTTGCATCTTGTTTCCACAATGTCAACCGCGCAGCTGATGTGGGCACACATCATAATTAATGCCAAGCGACTATTTGTAGGAAGATACAGTAGCCAATTTGCACAGACAAGCATGATGTGGGCCAAAAAAAGGATGCAGGTTGAGCCCACCCTGATATAATAATAATAATCTCTGCATTTGATATGGCGCTTTTCAAGTCTTCTCGACGTCTCAAAGCCCTTCACGGAATATGCTGTAAAGTGAATTGATCGTATATTTGTGGGCGAAACGCGGCAGCCAATTGCGCACAGCAGCGTCTGTCCCACAAACACAATTCATACTGAAGCTGTAGGTAAACTCAAGGCATGGCGGGTCTCTCAGGTTATGGCCCAATTCTGCATGCATTCACTGATCTCAGCCAATGCAGCACTTGGGGAGTCACAAAGAACCTCAGTTCTCCCAATTTGTTAGAGATAAATGCCACGACTCATCTCTTCTTTTTCCCTGGCTTGCCATCAAAATACGCCAAACTTAAGGGCTGCGAGGCACTGCCCCATGTGAAGGAGGCGATATAAGTGCAAGTTGTTGTCGTCATTGTTGGATGCATCTACGTGGGTTTCAAAACTGCTGGTCGGGCGAGCATGAAAGCAGATAATTTACTTTGAATCTTCTCTTCGGCAACGCGAGCAAAGAGGATAAAGGGTACCTGCAACACTCCTCAATCCAGTCATTGAAACAAAATGTTACAGAAATCATTACCAGGACACTTAACATTTATTGAGCGCATAATTACAGTATATAAAAAAAGTAAATGCCAGTTGAATAGAGCTACAGTTTACTCTCATGTCCCCTAAATTACAGCTTTAATACTGATCGGCTATGCTCTGCACGTAATTGTCTACAGAATTATGTTAACCCGTTGCCTTGACCGTTTGTTTTTGAATGAACAATTGGCTGCCACGTTTCGCCCACAAGTTTTGCAGTCAATTCACTTTGCGGTATATTCAGTGAAGAAGCTTTGCAACGTCTCGAAGGCGTAATGAGGCGCTATATCAAACGCAAGGATTATTATTATTATTATCATCAACATTTAGAGCACCAATATAACAATGATTTGGATTACTCTAAGCTCCTGGTGAATTTTAGCAGCGCTGAGGAATAGAATGTATTTTTTTTACTTAATGACAATAACTAGGGTTGGAGTTCTGTTTGTCCATCAAACATGGCCCTCAAAGGCGATTGACACGTAAAATATCATGTGCTGCAAGCTCTTGCTCGCTGGGAGCACGGCTCAGACTGTCTGAACACACTTTCATTCAGGAGAGATGTTCATCTGATCAATCCACTCGGACTGGATTCAAACTCAAGTCCCAAAAGGCACTGTACCATCCACTATGGTTGGAATCTTATGAGAACTGACTGTTAATAAGACTTTGAACTGCTGAACCTCAAACTAAACCCAGTTATGACAGATATAGTCAGTTATTCTCAGTTCCTTTAGAAATGTCTGGCACTCATAGGGAAGGTCAGTGAACCCATTTACATCGATATTTTGTGTGGTTTCGAGCCACACGACAACTTTCATTTGTGGAAATCCTCTAGCTGGATATCACCACAAGTCTGGAAGCTGAAAACACAATTTGGAGGGCATCAAAAGCAAGAAACCAAAGGTTTAGGAGGTCTCTTAGCCACAAGAACCACAAGATGAACTGATAGTGATGCCCTGCTGTTTGAGATAACGCCATTTTAGTTTCTGAAGGAGTGAGTTAAAGTTTTGGCTGCACTTCACAATGATAATAATGATAATAATCCTTGCATTTGATCTAACACCTTTCATGCCAGGAGGACGTCTTAAAGCATTTCATTTCAATAACTGTGAAGTGTAGTGACTCATTTTGTGGGCGAACAAAAACAATTTGTGTACAATGTCCCACACACAGCCGTGATCAATTGTATCTGGGGCAAAATACTGCAGATGCTGGAAATCTGTGATAAAAACAGAAGTCGCTGGGAACACTCAGCAGGTTCAGGCAGCATCTATGGACAAAGATGGACCTTAGGCCCATTTTATCTCATCCCTCAAGAAAACTCATCCTACCATCTCTCCCATTACAATATCAAGCCGCTTCTTAAATGAGTCCAGTGTCCTCGCCTCAACCACCCTTTCTGGCAACCTGTTCCAGCAGTTAATTATGCTCTGGGCACAGAAAACCTTGATCCAGTTGGCCTTGCTTATTGTCACTGGTACAGTGAATGATAAGTCAACTAACACCCTAGATTCAGCTTCCCCTCCTGGCGAGTTCTATTCCATCCCATGCAGCACATGTGTTTCCAAACCTAAGGATGACATCTCCAGCAATGCAGTAGATATTGAGATGAGGCACTGTGATATCAATTGTAGGTCTGAGTAAGTATCTACGGTGACTAACCTAACAATTTTGCTTCCAGTATATATTGCAGTACACCGGTGGCCAACCTTTTTGGTCGGCAAACAAAATAAATGTTCTCGATTGAATATTTCTTGATTTATGCCATTAATAGTAATAATCCTTGCCTTTGATACAGCACCTTATCAAGTCTTCAAGATGTCCCAAAGCTCGCCCAACATTTCGCCCTGACCGGGAATCGAACCTAGGTCTCTCGCTTGTGAGGCAACTGCTCAAACCACTGAGCTACAGGACTCCACAAATAAGAGAAGATCTTACATTAGTTGGGCTCTGAACCACCAGGTGACAAGCTGGAGGGAGGGGCGGTAGGGAAGGGAACAGGAGATAGAAACAGACAGGAAATAAAGTAATGAACTTGTGGGTTACACTGTTTAGTTTTCAAAACTAAAATTTTCTTTCCTGCTACTGGTTTCAATACCACTTCTACCTCACCAGTAAAACACTAAACTGAACCATAAACACTTAGCAATATTTCTTAAAAGTCGCCATCAAAATCTCTTCCTTTGGTTGACAACAGTTAGATCTCTGGAGTCATAATGAGCACTTTGCTGCCGACACCATACAGATCAAAGCACTTCACTTCGCTTTTAGAGCAGAGAAAAGAAACATCAAGTTGCAGTTACTAGGGATGTGTTTCAGGAATCAAAACTTGGCACCTTAAATAGTCGTACCACCCAATGCCTACAAGAGTCTTCTTTGGCTGTCAGGCTACATGGAATCTGTTCTCAATAGAGTTTGGGAAATATGGATACTTCAGATTGCCAGGAATATAACAGACGCTGCCTGGAATCAATTTGTTCACAGCACAGATGAAATGGAAATAAAATTCAATGACCAGGTCAGCCACATCCTAACCAAACAGCCAAGGGACTATGGATACACTCTTATCTGACCAGGACCAGATGCCATTTCTTAGACTATCAGGCGTAACAGGTGGATTCAGAGATACTAAACCATGCGATAAAGAACAGAGACCTAGAAAATGCACCATCTCACCGACTTAATGATTGGCTTCGGTCACCTGGAAGAACTTTGTCCACAAGGCATATTCAATACACAGCACAGTTATTTTCACAGTGTAAACCAAGCAAAATCCAAAGGAGGTAATCTTTACATCTGGCAAAATAACCCGCTTCAGGTGGTGAGCTTCATTTGGAGCTGACCCTGAGAGTTGGTCATTTTGCCTTCACTGCTTTATACAGAAGACCTTGTTCTGAAACAAGCCTTCAGCACGACACATGTTGAATTGGCCACCAAACCGCTGCAGTGATGTTGACTTTCTTCTGTTTGTATGACTATCAGAAGGGTTTAGTTCTCGTGGAAGGTTGCTCAGAAATGGCTCAGTTCTGAAACCACATTTGAACTGAGCGGATGTTCACTACTTAGAGAGACCAGTCAGAGAAACAACAACACTTGTATAGCGCCTTTCACATCAGGAGGACGTCCCAAGGCGCTGGAACTGTCAGGGATCTGCACCCGAGCTGGTGGTTGGGACCAGGAGGGGTGGAGGGCAGAACATACTGTGATTTGGGAACTGTTGGCTCTATCGCGACATCTTCCTATTAATTTTCTCAGCTTGATTCAGATGAGGTTCTCTGATTAAAATTGATGTTGTCTGCTCGACATATATAGGAGAATGGTTTATACCGTGGCAAACATTCTAATCCCATTTAGAGCCTCCGGCCATTCAGCCTGATCAGATGTAAACGCTATTGTTCAGGTGATTGGAACATCCAAATCTCAATGCATGGCAGAACAGATGCAATCTATGAATGTCTCATTACAACACAGAATTAAGGAAAGTAATTTGTTACGAATATTGGGGTCTAACGTCTTTTATTTGTAACGCAATTCTTTAATAAGGAAACCAGATTTGCATCATTCTGACTCATAGAATGATTCTGACGCACAAGGCTCCATGAACCTATTACCCCCAATCCTCGCCTGGCTCCATTGGTTCCCCATCCCCCAGCGGATTGAGTTCAAGATCCTCATTCTCACCTTCAAATACCTCCAAGGTCTTGCCCCACCTCTTATCTCTGTCACCTCCTTCAACCCTACTGAGGAGCCAGGCGAGGATTGAGTGGAAAGAGTCCCTGTCTCCAGTGACTGGTCTGCTCTTCTAAGTCCTACCAGTGAGCCAGACTAGCTGTGCTGTTATCAGCGAACCAGACCGGCTCAGGACCAGAGTGCAGAGACCCCCGGGGAAGACTGACATTCTGTTGCCAAGCACATTACCGGAGAGAGAATTCAGCTCCAAGGAGAGTTAATTTACCTCCTCCTCCCTCGCACCCACCCCCAGCCTTGGAGTCACGCCAGGAGCTAACAAATTATTTCTAATATCTGACAAAGTACCTTTGAAGTTTCTCTTTTATGTAATAGAATTAGAAATCATTTCAAATTGGATCCCAATATCTGACAAAGTATATAAATATAAACAAATATGAAGTATTTGTAATAGACTGTGAAAAACTGACCTGTTTCACCAATTGCTCCTTCTTGACTAGGCCCGTTGCTGCCGCTATATTCCCAGCTCCTTCCACTGTCTTCTGGGCGACGGCAGACATTCCGGTCACCACGGCTCCTCCAACCAGAGATGCCTGCTCTTTGGTCTTCTCGGCCACTGGCAAGAAATCACAGGAAATACACTGACCTATTGCACAAGAAGCTTCAGCCACAAACAACAAATGACAAGAATCAATTTCCGATGAATGGGCACCAACAGCTCGTCACAACCAACACATCATTTCACTTCCTATCGCTTGGTTCATTTCCCCATCCGTGACGTGTGGCAAGTATCATGTCGTAACAAGTCCATGCAGTATTGGGTAAGTGCCAAGGCAAGTGCCTTACGGGTCAGTTTGCAACAAGGGAGATCCCTTTGTTACTCCTTTTTTGTTCCTCTTTCCCTCCCTTAACTAAGTTAATGTAATCACAAGGCCGCAATCCAGTTTCCGTCATGTAGCTAATGGACAGGCAGCTCAGAAATATAGTCATTCTCTAGTCAACCTCATAAATCTGGTGATGTTTTAAAATGGAAATTAGTCCTCAATTCCCACTGCTCTACCTTTGGTTACAATGTACAGTATTATCCCTTTCGTTTAATAGCAACATAAAATGTTTTACCCCTAAGTTAAAAAATAACTCTCCATAAAACAACTGGATGAAGAAAGGGTAGGAAATAGAGACATATTCTGCAAATAAGCAAGCATTGCAAGGCAATTTGCAACGCTCCTGTTCCCCCCTTTCTGAGTAATTGCTGTATATTGATTTGCATAACCAACGTGTTCTCAAACTCTTCGATCTGTGTAACTGCGGTGAGAATAAAGCAAATAAGCAGCAGTAATAATAATCCTTGCACTTGTTGTGGCACCTTATTACATTGATAATAGATCTCAAAGCACTTCCAAAGCTATACTGCAAAGTGGTGTAACTGTGTGTATTTTGTAGACAAAAGACCTGAATAGTATAGAACTATCCAACAACTGCTTCACAAAGAAAACCTCAACAGCCCAGCAGCGTAGACTGACAGCGTTAGGTTGAAAGAATTCAAATATGAGCTTTCAATCCTAATTTTCCAACAAACAAAACACATATCTCCTTCAAGCTTTCTATAAATTCCCTGCTCCTCCTCCAAACCCTTTCATATTTGTCCCAATGGGTGCAGACACTTCTAGAGGGAAAAAAAGCAAACGAGAAACAATGTAAAAGGTAAATGTGAAGAATGACGCAGGCTCCACTCACACACAGTTAACCTTTCCCCGTGTTATTGGTGCCCCATGTCCCCCATGCGCAGAGCTAACAAATTGGTTAACAACCTCCAGCTCCGTCCTGCTCCACGTCTCCCCCACTCTCCACTGCTGGGCCCACCCCAGCATTGGCGGTCTCTGTTCCCACCCTTTGGAACTCCAACCCACATTCCCTTCGCCTCGCTCCCTCCCTTGCCTCCTTCAGGGTACATCTCAAGTCCCTCCTCTTTGACTGCACCTTCTAACCCTCCCCTTCCTGCCCTCGACCCCACCTGATCCTAATCCCCTGCTCGGGTCCAAATCCCTGACGGTCCAGCACCTTGCGACATCCTTTCCAACGTGAAAGGTGCTATACAAATGTAATTTGTTGTTTTTGCCGTTGTTGTTCATCATTTGGTGTTTAACGTGAAATAAGAGCGAAACACAAGTGGAAAGCAAACGAGGTATAGGCACCTGCACCACATTTACAGCGCTGGGTTGAACCCACGCCAAGTGGAAGGAGCATTGGGAAAGAGGGAAGTAAAATGTTTATGCTGCCTTTCAAGTCAAAACGTCGAATAGTTTGACTCTTTCCAATAATTAGCGTCACATGCAGCGACTGTTTTTTTGTGGGCATAGACGGCAGCCATTTTGCACACAGCAAAGTCCCATAAATAGCCTCGAGGGCACATCACCAATTAATCTGGAGAATTGCTGGCCAGGACATCAGAACAGTCCCTTTTCTTCTCAAACAGAGCTATAAGATCCTTAACATCCAACTGAAACTCCAGCGATGGGCGTGTAATTCGATTCACTCTGCCGGAATACAAAATTCTCCCCGAGACCTTTCTTCCAATTCACCGTCACGAAAGGTTGATGACATATAAACCTAGAGATTGTATGCACCCAGGTACAAATTCATCAACGACCAAAATTATACACTACCCTCATGGTGAAACAATTGGCAGGATTATCCTATATACACATATATATAGTCATCATGTTGATTTAGATCTCCATTCAGTAGGAAGAGTTTGATGCAATTTTTTAATCAAGTAGGAATTTAATAGCAAATTTGCAAACAGGTTTGTAACAATTAAACTTCAAAAATGATTTCTCATTGCTGCAAATAATCCAACGGAACTCAGCACATGTAAATGGAGTTTTAATGAGATGCAAACATCAGGATTCATTCCACATGAAGAAGCCGATTAGAAGACTGTCACATTCCTGCAAATAGGATTGATGCTACAGTCACTCATTGTGGCTAATACTGGTTCTCTCTGTACCCCACATTAGCTTGTCTGATCAGAAACAACGCTCTGGCAAACAGAAAAGAGAAGCTTATCGCATTCGTGGCACGTGGAGGGCAGTCAAGTGCACAACTGCAAAGAACCTCAATTGTGTAATCAAACTAGTTGAAAGTGCAAGCATGTATAAACCCACATGCCTTGAAGACAACGCGTTCTCTTTCTTCTGAATTGTTAAGACTCTTGCATGCAAGTGACTGACTGATCTCACCGAGTCCTGCTCACCAATCATCCCTCGCCCCCGTGAGATAAGAATCAATCGCCCTTTAAGCAAAGTGCAGATCATGTGCTTCTCAATTTTGATCTTAAAAGGTAATTATGCATCACAATCTTTGAGCATCCTTGATCACATAACCACAAGGGCTTTGACTCGTAGAGTGAGGGCATGTCCGTACCTGTAAGTTATGGTAACTGCCTTCGCCAGATGCATCTCGTCGGAGACACTTTGGCTGCAGGTAAGAGCAAGCCTACCTTCCTACCACTCTCCAAGGAGGATATTATTAGATGTGTTGCTTATTTTAGTCAACCTTGAAAGGGTGAAGGGATTATACAGTATTATAACACGTATATCGTTACTCAGAAAAACCAGAGCTGAAAGTTCACACTCACATCTTCCCCTTCCGACACAAAATCTATTTGTTTCCACTTGTGATCTGACTGCTTTATTTGTGCACGCTGCCATAAATAATCTAACAACCCTGAGCTGCTAAGAACTGCATAGCAACACAATAAGATTAACTGCTCTTTCTTAAAATTTACTTTGGGGGCAACCGTGATGGTGCAGTGGACAAAGCTGCACCTTACGATACAAGAGATCATTAGTTATACTAATAATTAGTTTGAATCCCGGCTCGTGATGAGTTCAGTGGTCTGACCCACGGTTCCAGGACTCCATGAGGCTAAATTAGCCACAGCCTTCACAGGGTTGGACTCCAGCTGTTACCCCAACGCACACTCTGGGGTCCCCAAACCTTAGCTCTTGCCAACCTGCGCCTAGTACTTTCCGGAATTAGTTAAGCAGGATTCATCGCTCCGGGGAGAGAGAGAGAGAGCTCATTCCATTCCAACAATCTATCTCTGGGATTTCCATGTGCAGGTGGGTTGCATGGAAATCTCAGTTTGGTCTGGATACGGTGATGGGTTTCCACGTGTGTCAGACACCAGGCTGACCCATACAAAAAAAAAGCCAGGGGGAAGACCAGCCAGAATTTCTCTATTCGGTGTCCTCATAGCTACTGTCAAGCTCGCATGTGGTATCTGGGAGGGAAGAGGTCAGGCTTGGCTAAGTACAGTTAAGTGACCTGCTAACTCACTGCCAAGGCTCACCAGATGAGCAATGGACGCTTGAGCAAGGTTTTGGAGGGCATTCGGACCAACGGAACTGCACTCCAGCCAGAGGAGGCCAGAGCAGGAGCAGGAAGTCAGCGGGCAGATAATTAGGGGGTTGGGGGGACAAAGATCAAACGGATAGAACAAAATTATTTTCTTGAAATAAAATTCATTGGAGTTGGAGGAAAAGCTGTGCTTTTCCGATGCACACAGCCTGAGTCACGATTCATTCAACGTTGTAGACTACGAAACGACAATCGCATTTCATTTTGCTCTATCCATCAAGTTTTGGCACATTCACCCATATATGGTAATACTGTCAGTATCGCAGCACATCAGCAAGCAAGCTGCAAGTGGGTGTGCGTCCGCGTGTGTGTGGGGCGGGGGTGGCGGTGAGGGAGAAAGAGAGGAGACTGCTGCCCTTAAACTCTTCAGTAATTTCGCCCTTCACATCATACTAACATTCAAATAATGGCAAAGCACACAAAGCTCACTCCTCGCACACTGCAATCTCGATCATTCAAATCTGATCTCAATGGCAATTCAATGGGCAATTTTAACCTCTTTTAATTGGACAAGTAGCAAATGTCCTCTTCACATCTCTGGTAATTGCAATTTACAGTCGCCAGCTCCTAGCATCAGTGGATTTCTCTTTGACCGTGCCTTCAGCTCCCCTCTCGACTCTCTTCCCCCTCCTCGCTCCCTCCCTACGCTCCCCTCACCCTGACCATCTCCCCGCTCCTTGCTCCCTCCCTTCCCTCCCCTCACCCTGACCATTTCCCCCCTGCTCGGGTCATGACCCAACTGTGCAGCGCCTTGGGACGTCCTCCTGACGTGAAAGGCGCTTTATAAATGGAATCTTGTTGTTGTTGTTGTTGTTGTTGATCCACTCTTAAACCATAATCTGTTAACCTTCTGGCCCTCATAATCTCTCTGCTCTGAAGTGGGCTTCTCACATCTCCTCCATTCCTAAAGCAGTCTCCAAGAAACAGCAACAACTTGCATTTATTTGAATTTATATAAATCCCGTTAAAAAATATATATAAAATAATAATTCGGTCATTTCAATCCACGACTGTTTGTGGGGACGCTGCTGTGCGCAATTGGCTGCCGTGTTTCACCCACAAACTATACAGACTATTCACCTTACAGTGTATTCCGTGAAGCGCTTTGAGACGTCTCAAAGACGTGACAAGGCGCTATATCAAATGCGAGGATTATTATCATATAGCACCCTTCATCCAGAGTAGCATCTCGCTAAACAGTGTCAGAGCCTGACCCAAGCTAGGAGAAGGGGCTACACATGGTCGAAGAGAAAGGTCTTCAAGCGTGATCTGAAAATGGGGAAGGAGGGGTAAGAGAGGGAGAGAGGTTCGGGGTGCAGGGCTGAAATCACAGCCGCCGATGGTGGAGTGGAGGGGACAAGGAACAAGAAGAAAGCCGGAACCAGCCCAGTGGAAGCGGCGTGAAGCGCAGTGGGGAGTTAGAAGGTCAGGGGGGGTAGGGAGGAGTCACTCAATTTAGTTTCTTCTTGAACCTTCAAGATTGTGAAACCCTGGCTCAGTCTTTTGTCCTTTTCCAACACGCAGACTTTTAAAAGCTAACCATGGCATTACCTAACCACATCTTCCCTCAGTTCGGTTTCTCTACAGCTTGAGCGCTCTAGAAATTATCACCCTGCGTTCCATTCTTCTTCAAGCCTGGTACGTGTGAACGTGTAGGAGATTCTGTGTGAAAGCTGGAGCTACATGAAAACCCTGCTTTAGCGAGAGGCTTTTCGCAGAGAAAAATGCATCGCTATTGCTCCATTAAACACAGTGCTCTTACAGTATACCTCGTCAGCCTCCCACATTCAATCTTCGAACATGTGTTTGAACCTAATTCCACTGTTCTCGATGGAAAAATAAATGAAAAAAGCGAGGAGACGGATAAAGGTTGCAACTTCCATTTTTCGGGGCACTGAGCGCATGTGAGACCACGTTTGAATTAAGCGCAGGCTAACTCACCGTAAAGGCTGGAATATCGAACTCATTTCACACACCAAAGAGTAGGAACGCAGAGCGTAAGACGAGTTAAGCATCTTTCACAATCTGCACGCTGAACTCCTTATTCCTGCTTTGCCGGACAGATTTTCCGTGCTTTTTAGTGTTGCTCTGCTCGCTCTGCCGGTTTCACACACACACCACAATCTTAAGAGATTTAATGACACGTTGCAACGCTGTCGAACAAATGTCAGTTCGCTTAACACGACTGTTCTAATTTCAGTCTTCAATTCAATCCAAGGCCATCATGATTAAAACACCATTTTTTTTTTAAAAATGGGCAGAATCTCACAAAACAACGTACGTCGCCCCAGTTTGAAATATCGCAGTTATTTCAGAAATGTTACTTGACTTGCCATAGTGGTGATGGAACAACAACGACAACAACATGCTGTGTGCCAACAGACACTACCCAACAGAAACGAAATGCACACAGTGGATTAATTCTCAGCACTGTCTGCTTGCAATGCATAGTTTGGTTCATCTTAGAGGTTCACCTGATATAGATTTTGTCACATGGACCCAGATGGTTGTGTCATTCATACCTTTCTGCCTCCCCCTCATGTCACTTTCCCACTGGAGTCCTGAAACATAGCGTTGCATTGTCGGAGGTGCCATCCTTCAGATGAAACGTTAAACCAAGGTCCCATCTGCCTGTTCAGGTGGATGCTAAGGATCCTATTGTCGCTCTACGAAAAGGGAAGGGAGCTTCTCTCTCCCGGTGTCCTGGTCAATAATCCCCAAATAAAATTGGTCATCCCACAAAACAGAGTAACGTCACCCCAGTCTAAAATATTGTTTGTGAGATACTACTGTGAGTAACTGGCTGCCACCTTTCACCTCAAAAATGCACAGTCAATCCACGTTACAGTATATTCTGTAAAGTGCTTTGAGACACCTCAACAATGTGATAAAGCGCTATACAAAATGCAAGGATTATTATTATTGTTATTATTATTATTCCCAGTGGTGAAGTTGACAAAGCCCATTGCACTGGACACCTGACTCACAGTCGTTCACTGTCACTTGGGAGGCACTAACTGAAATCATTTGAAGCAGGAGAGGATGGATAAATAAAGAAGTGATGGAAAGAGGGAGTGCGGGATTGAAAGGAATAAAGGGAAGAGGGTGGGGCTGAAATGAAGAGTGAAGAGAGTAGAAGATGGGTAGGGAGAGGAAAATGATTGGGTGCGGAACAGAGACCAAGGAGGGAAGGATGGGTGGGGAATGGAGGCCTTTTATTAAGTGTTTGTGTTACATCTGCTCTGCTTCCTCATCAAAATGATCCAGAGTCCCAAAGCAAAATGGGAGCCCGACCGATACATCGGAATGGGTTACACAACATAATCCAGTCAATGCAAATAAAACAAATTCACACAACATATCAGTTATGTTTTATTAACCTTGCTGTGATTTTTTGTATATATATAATATATAATCATTTGTAAAAAGATAATATACGCGTAGGATCATTGTGCTATGGAAGCAATCCAGCAGGTGCTGTGAAGGCTCAATTTCTCACCACACTGGTAGCAATTTTATTACAGCCAGATATTAGCCCAGGGTTCATTGCATGAAAGGTGATTAACATTGGAGAAAGATAGACAGAGCTCAGGAAAAGCTCTCACAGACAAAAGTTGAGTTGTGGAATTATATTAGCCGCTAGGTACCTGAGGAAACTCCATGATATACACCTTCCTTCGTCTTGGAACCTGAAATAAATGGGAATTCCTGCCATTAAATTGGAGAACAAGCAAACAGACCACATTCAGATCTCAGTACCACCGCCCCCCCCCCCCCCCCCCCCCCCCACCCCAACCGCTTCCTCCACAACCATTCAGGTGAGGATTGACAAATGAATCGCCTGTCTGGTCAATGGACAGCACTACCTGGCGCGTTCAAACACAGCAAACGAATGGGTTAAAAACATCATGAGACTGGGATATGGAAGCTTTTCTCCCTGATCTCTGTGAGCGTGTGTGTGTGTGTGTGATTTTTTTAAAAAAAAATAGCAGGATGCTCCCAGGAGGGAGATCAAACAGATTGCAATTGACACAAATGGAAACGTGCAAACACACAGAGAGAGAGAGAGGGAAAAGCTCTCAATGTTGTTCCATTTTGCACTGTGTAGCCTAAATGGGATTTTAATGCTCACTCCCCCAACCAGTCACATCTGCCTCCTGGAAATATAGCCATACAGCAATGTTCCCCTACATTTTCGATCCAATATTCTTTTGGCAATGAAAAAAAAAGACATCTCCCTCCCACCCTCTCCTCCTCATTTCTGAAGCCATTAAAATAATGTTACTCGAATTGCTTTTTCCTTGGGTATATTTTTTAAAAAAATACCACACACACTGACTGACTGACTGACTGACTGTCAACCTGTCTGGAAAAGCTTTCATGTTCAACACCTGGACTGGAGCCACAGGAGGTGTTTGAGACACAGATTTCCAACACTCACCTGATGGATCTCAAGTTTAAATTGAATTAAAAAAAATGTCTTTTTCTCTGTGTGCAATTCTGACTCTACTGATTCTCTCTTTCTCTCTCCTCTCTCTTTCCTCCCCCCTTACACCCCACTCCACTCCACCCCCCACACTTGATGCATTCCCACCCCATTCCCCCTCTGGCCATCAGCTCCTCTCCTTTTGCCAATTGCCACATTTCATGTTGCGTCCAACTCTGCAAAACACAGAGAGGGTATTTAATTTTTTTTTATTATTATTTTTTTTTTGGGTGGGGAGTGGGGTGGGGGGGGGTCCAATACAAGAGATTTCACATCAAAAGCTGAATGGTCTGAAACGAGATTGTCTTTACAGTGTGGGATGGATCATGTTATTTCCTTGTACAAGGCACACAGACACACACACACACACACACACACACACCACAGACAGAAACAACCACAGAAACACACACAAGGCACATGGAAAAGCGACGTGTTGAATTATTGCATTGCTTGTTTCTTGTCACCTACCCATGTACATCACTCCATCTTTTGTCTTTCCTGCTGCCTCTGCCACTCCCTGCTTGGTCTTTTCAGCAGCTGCCACAACCCCATCTTTCGCTTTGGAAAGCCCTTTCATGAAAACATCCATGGTCCCAAACCTTCCTCCACACTCACTGGTGTGAGAGAGAGTGAGAGAGAGAGTGAGAGTGACAGACAGAGAGATAGAGAGAGAGAGAGAGTGACAGAAATCACACACTGACTGCACACAATGATCAGTTTCAGCAAATAACACAGAACACAATCCTGTTAGTCTCTCTCTCTCTCTCTGTCTCTCTCTCTCTCTCCCCCTCCTCTCTTCACTCTCTTTGTTTATATATATATATATATATATAATTTTAAAAAAAGACTGAATTACCTTTGTAGTCTGCAAAGAGGGAATATACAAAAAAAAAAGCCAGAGAGAGAAAAAAAACAAGCACACACTCCTTTCCCCAGTCTTTCAGTACATCACTGCTGGATTCGGTTTGGTTTGGTTTGGTTTGGAGGCTGAAGTGGCTGAGACCCAGAGCTGAGAAGCATTGACAGCTCACAGTGTGGCTGCTGAGGCTGAGCAGGTTTGTGAGCTTCCAATGACTGCGAACTGACTCTCTCTTCCCAACGTCCCCCTAATTCTCCAGCCCCAGACGTGCCTTCTGATTTGTTCACACCACCTACTTTCATCTTCTAACTCCCCCCTTTGGGACCATCGAATCCCTCCATCCATCCCTCCCTCTATGTCTGTCTGTCTCTCTCACTCTTTCTCTATCTCACACACACACACACACACACACAACCACACACACAAATAGTGGCACTGAACACCCTTTATTTCAGCAGTGAAAGGAAGGTTAAGCACAAACATTGACCCAATTCCCAACACTTCAGTAACAACATTGCCAGGTTGCCGAACGAAGGCTGATCCCTGGTTTCAAGCTTCTTTCGGAAAATAAACAAAACATCTTGACTTACTTACCTCTACGCCTCGAAAACCAAAGACTGCACGTTTTTCTATTTGGGTAGTTTTTTTTGGGGGGCCATTACCAGCGAGATCAGGCCCGGTCTTTTCGCTTTGAGATGATGTGGGGCGCCATTGGTGATTTCAGTCAGTCTCCTGACAGGAGCCGATGGGGGGGGAAGTATCCTTTAAGAGCCGGTCCTTTGTCAATAAGAATTTAATTTAATGTTTCAAGCTGCAGATTGTTTCCAGGATGAAGCAGTAAAAGTCAATGTCTTTCCAGTTTTTTTTCAAATCTATCTATCTATCTATCTATCTATCTATCTATCTATCTATCTATCTATCTATCTATCTATCTATCTATCTATCTATCTATCTATCTATCTATCTATCTATCTATCTATCTATCTATCTATCTATCTATCTATCTATCTATCTATCTATCTATCTATCTATCTATCTATCTATCTATCTATCTATCTATCTATCTATCTATCTATCTATCTATCTATCTATCTATCTATCTATCTATCTATCTATCTGTATCAGCCTCACCCCATTCTCGAATCCCTCGTCCCTTTCACCCCAGCAGATTACTGATGACAATTTAAATTTTAATTGGTATCTTTTTCCCTCTCTCTCTTTCTCTCTGTCTGATGCTATTAATGACGTCGGAAGGAAAAGGCTCACAAAAGCACGAAAGCCTTGCCATCTGGCAGAAGCCCCGGACACCAAATAGAGCAGAGAAAAAAAAAGGGGGGTGAGCGGTCAAACAGAACCAGCCTTTCGCTCCAGTAATGAGGAAGGCCAAACTAATCCAAGCACAGTCCAGCTCACTTGTAAGAAAGACTGAGTTTGCTGCCAAATTCTCTTCTTCAGAGAGAGAAGGACTATGAGAACGCAGATTTTTGGGGGTAAATGCCACGCATCAGCTATTGGGTGAAGGAATGGGTGGGGGGTGGGGGGCGAGGGGGGGGAAATTATGCCTTCTGATGGAAATTATAACAGGAGATGCTCAAAAAGCCATAATTTATGATTTTAATAAATTGCTTCACCAACTCCCCCGGCTCCATTCCAGTAATTTCTCATTACTTTCAAGGTGAGTAATATCTATGCAACGTATTCAATATTTTTTCCTGTGTTGGGCAGCCGATGCAAGTATCAAGCACTTTCCCAGTTGAGTCGCCGACAAGGACACAGTCACGACAGTTTACAGTAAAATCCTGTGAAGTGCTTAAGAGACATTTCGAGGACCTGATAATGCGCTGTACATATCAAAGGATTATAATGATAATAATAATCTTTGCATTTGACACAGCGCCTTATCAAGTCTTCGAGACGTCTCAAAGCGCTTCACAGGATAGACTGTCAAGTGAATTGACTGCAGATTTTGTGGGCGAAACGCGGCAGCCAATTGCACACAGCAGCGTCCCCACAAACAGCCGTGGATTGAAGTGACCAAGTTATTATTATTTTTTTTAAGGAAAATTATTACCCCGGAAAAGCGATCCGCCGATCGACTAACAACTGGGTTCCTGCTTACTGTTGGGGAAACAGCTTCGTGTGGAGCAAGGAAACTTGCCCAACATTTCACCCTGATGGGAATCGAACCCAGGTCTCTCGCTTGCGAGGCGAGTGCTCTAACTGCTGAGCTACAGGACACCACATATCATAATAATAATCTGTGCAATAATAACATTATTATTAATAATAAGTCTAGAATAGGCCATATGCAGAGCAAACAGTCTAGCAATGTACTTCCCTCTCACCCCGACAGAGCAGTGCTCACTGAACCAGTGTAAAGGATTCATTTTCACACGGTGTATCTTTATGACCTCTCTCTGGCTGAGACAACCCAGTTTGTGTCACTTTGGGTCCTGTTGGGCTTGCTGTTTGAACCCATGCCCGTCAGAAACTGAAGTGAAATCTGTGCAAACGAGCTCGACACGAGATCCTTACAGATCGCAGAGAGTGGTTTCACGCAAGGCTAGGCTGGATTGAAGCCTCTGTGCAAGAAACGAAAGGCAGTGTGCAAACCCCTGTCACCCTCAATCTGCCCCACTAACCCCAACAATTTACCATTTAAATATTTTCCACCCCAACGCCCTCCCCACCACCCACCGCCCCACCACCACCCACCGCCCCCTCCAACATCCCGCAGAAAAACTGAGCGCTATTTTGAACACTGATTGTAAAATTGAGCTGATGAAACACTAATGCCCCGCTCCTTCCCCTTTCGTCCCAGGTATCACTGGCTCGAGACCAAGGCTGAAAATCAGACTTTTTCAGTCAATTGTATATCGAAGTCCAGACTTCATGTGCTCCTTCCTGACACTCAACGTGNAAAAAAATGTGTCTGCTTGCCGTACAGATTTGTGCTTGACGGATTGAATGAATGGAGTCGGTTGGCAGGCTGCCTCTTATCCACCCCTTCCCCCACAATAGATTGCTCGGGGCCAGATGAACTGGAACAACAGTCCTCTCTCCCCCCACCGGAGATTGCAAGGACAGATTGATCCCTACAACTCTGACACCTGCCATCCTCCCAATAGCCTAACAGGGATAGAATAGATGTATGCTTCAAACTGTACACCTCCTGACTAGACATCCAAGAATCCGATCAATACGGCAGTACCACAAGGTTGCAAACTCTCTCCTGCTCGCCAGCAACCAGACACCCCAATAATAAGGGACGCACTTAACTTCATTGCTAAAGCTCCAAGCAATAGGCAAGACAGCACTTAACTTACACGTCGGTTACCAGTAACGATGGGGAAATCTTTCAGCAAAAATGCGTGAAACGATGGCTTTCACCGGCTAACGTCACATTATTTTCAGGAGAATGCTTATTATTTCACAGTGGGATCAAAAAGACGGTATTGGCAGAGCAGACTGACGATGTGCAATGTTTTTCTTCCTCTCCCCCTCCCACCCCGCATCCCCCACCACCCCCGCCCCCCACAGAAATCTCTCAAAAGGTCAGAATGCTTATTGTGAAACAGTATTTTTCCAGGTGTTTCTCGGTGGCACAATATTTAAAGAGAATTTGCTCGCAATCTGTGGAAATCTCAGAAGGGAAGTCACAAATGACAAATGACAAATCACAAACTGACCTGACTTTCCTTATCATCTCTATTAAAAATGAATAATGTAGGAGAGAAGCGTTTGCAGGTTAGAGTTATCTGCATGGAGTGATATAAAAAAAATGTGGTCACTCAATCCATCACAGCTGCAACCAATTGACTTCCCCGTTTCGCCCATGAAATAGACAATTCACTTTACCATATATTCTGTGAAGCGCTTTGAGACGTCTCGACGACGTGATCAGGCGTGGTATCAAATGCAAGGATTATTGTTATTATTATTAGTAGTAATCCTATTCCACACACAGTTACATGTTCCATTTGTCAACACGGACACTTATTCAGTGTCCTGTAGCTCAGTGGTTAGAGCACTCACTTTGTAAGTGAGAGACCTGAGTTCAATTCCAGGCAGAGGGCGAAACCTTGGGCAAGTTTCCTTACTCTACACAGAGCCTAATAATAATCCCTCCAAAACAAAACAATAATAAATTGGTCATTTTCAATCCACGACTGTTTGCGGGGACGCTACTGTGTGCAATTGGCTGCCGCGTTCGCCCACAAATATACAGTCAATTCACTTTACAGTATATTCTGTGAAGCGCTTTGAGAGGTCGAGAAGACGTGAAAAGCGCTATATCAAATGCAAGGGTTATTATTATTATTATTATTCATCACTTGAGCTTTGGGTTTCATGTGAATCGGGCATTTCAGCTTGTGTTAGACTGCAAAAACCCAGAACTGTCCACTTGTCTATTAATATAGCGTCTCCAGGTTAGGAAGGAGAACATTCACAAAGAGGTCCTTCTTACGCTAACTATCCAGTGACTCCTTCGGAAAAGTGCTTGTGTGTGCCTTGAAATGCCTGAAATTGCTCATATTCTTAGCTTGAACCCATCGTCTTGAAAATTAAGATTGTGTAGAATTCATGTAAATTCAGGTCTAATTTGGGAACTGTTTTTCTGCAGCTGTTTAAAAGTGATTCGCCGTTTAACTGGACAACCTTTTAAGAAACTGTCCATTTGTTGACAGTGACTTTATACAGTCTGCGAATCGCTATTCAATTTAAGTGATGATCTTTAATTGGTGTATAATTTAGTGAGAAAGGACACGTGATCCTTCACAAGTATTACTGGGGGAAAGTGCGTCCAAATTCATTTTTAATTTAATTTAAGTAGGAAACAAAGATATCTATCAACATGAAATGTAATCCATGTAGCTTGAAGCCGGTAACTGATGTATTGGACCTATGTGTGGCGGACAGGTGGTGGGGGAGGAATGAGCACCATTATGGGGGAGAAGCAGTTAGCACTGTGGGTAGGACAGGGTAAACGAGACACAGTCCAGGGAGAGGATTCATCACTGAGAGAAGGTCAGGAGGAAACTTTGGCACAAGGAGAAGGGCCACAATGCATTCAAGCAGCCAATTGTACCAGGACCTCGCGTGTAACTCCTGTGGGGCCCTGCAGCCTGTTGGTTAGAGCACTCGCCTCGCAAGTGAGAAGACTCAGGCTCGATTCCCGCACAGAGAGAAACCTTGGGCAAGTTTCCTCACTCCAAGCACTTCTGCTTACCCAGCAGCAAGTCGGAACACAGTGATTAAGTTCTACCGGTGGATTGTTTTCTGGGGG